GCTTTGTGTTGAGTTTTAGAAGCTTAATAAAAAGGCATTACTCTGAAAATGGCCAGGCCCAAGGACTGGACTGAAAATGAGTTAAAAAGCATCAAACATCCAAGGAAGATTTTGGAAAACCTTTAGAGAGCCAGTAGAACTATTGTCCAAGACTGCTTTAAAAGAATACAAGAAAGTCCGGTTCAAGTCTAAGGGCTGTCTCAAAACCTTTGCACAGTACTGTACACAGTCCAAAATAAGGCTGAATGATAAGTTTCAAGTTTATCAGCATGGGAACCACCAATCCAGGGGCACCAACAAAGGCCTGTCAACTAGGACAGCCCTACAAATTCCAGTGCCTTAAGAAACTCAGGGTAGATTTCATCCACCTCAGGGCCCCTGAGAAGTTGCTTAACCACCTTAGTGACCTTGGCATGGTGATGGGCGAGTCATCCTCCTTATCCTCCACAGAGGACTTGTCCATGGGATTGAGGAAGTCCTCGAAAAATTCCTCCTGGCAATAGCCCCCCCACCCACACTGGACTGAACAGCAAGTGGATCCCTTCTCAGATGAAATAATGTAAGATGCTTTATATCCTGAGTCTGAAGATACAGACACAAAGTTAAAATTTGGGGTACAGGTCAAACACAATGATTACAGATCACTACTGTTCACCCATGTGTTTAAATAAAAGGAAGAGGGTTTCTGTTATGTTTCAGTTAGTACATCGAAACATGCAGCTTCATCTGATTCTGCCCAGTTTGCCAGTTTAATAGGTGAGACCAATTTCTCAGAGTCAGTTTAAAATAGGAATTTTTTAACCTTAGATACATATTTCTAAGTGCATCACTGATATCATAATGGATACTTGACTTGCTCGCTTTATTTCAGAGACAGAGATGATAAAAATGAACACGTTTCCATGTCTTACTTTATGGACCAACAACAAACATTTCTGTATTCAGTAATCTATACAAATTATTAGTTTATAAACAGAACCAAACTGGACAAAGAGAAGAGCTGAGGAGGACCTGCTGCAACATCTCCATGACAGCTGATATTCACAGCTACATGACTCACACGACATGATTACAATCATACGCACAGTTTGTCAGAACACCACAAAAAGGACAGGGCAAGCTGTACTTTACTAGACAGTATAGTTTTAACAATCAACAATTTAACTTTTATAGACTGATGCATTGTGTGGTTTTAATTCCATGTTCCATCGTATTCTGCCCATCATCGGGGGGCTGGAGCGAAGCAGAGTACGCACTAGCCAGCTCACCAGTCTGTTGCAGGACTAACACAGAGAGACAGACCATTCACATAATTTAGACTCACTAGTGAACCTAACCCTACTAACTGCCTTTGTCCCACAGTCCAAAGACATGCAGTACCCAGAGAGAGCCCACGCAGACACTAAAAGCACATGCAAACTTTACAGAGAAAGGCCACGACCAGACGGTGGAGTCGAATTCAGGAGGTAGTTGTTAGCAGTGCGCCGCCATGGGTATAAAAGCAAAATTTAAACAATTAAAACAGCCATGACTAAATTGACTCTAGCTAAGCCTGTCGAGTAAATAACAAGATTAAATGTGAAACAGTTAAACTGAAATAGAACTCCAGTTTTAGACCTACAGTTTTACAGCTGAGCCACAGAGTCTCCACTGCCTACATGAGCTGTGGCCTGAGCTGCCGGTCATTTCACAACATCCTGCTCAGTCTTGACAATCACTCTGTTCAGTCCACAGCACCAACTCTTTAAGAATCCTAATTTAGTGACAGAGTCCAAGATGAGCTCTTTACAGCAGCATCAGTCAAGAATTTTTGACTGCCATTTCACTGTGAACTTTAATGATGAAAGAAAGACGAACTCTACAAACTGCAGCTTCTCCTTTATATAGTAACAAAAATCTGCATTGTATATTGTCTTTGATAACTTGCTGGCCACATATTCATTGTTAATGCAATCAGGCATGCCCTTAACCTTCAAATCGCCTACAAATAACATGGTAGCTGCTAGCTGGTGCTGACAAACAGGTTGGGAGTGGGAGGGATACTTCCTGTTTCTCATGAAAATGTGAAAAAATGTGAACCCTTGGGAGGAAGAGAAGACCAGACATATGGACACATTTCACGTGCTTTTACCGGGGAAAGTTACACCACACGGTTTACAAGCTTTTACAGTCAAAAGATTATCGCAGACTAACCGTAAAGTCGATTCAGCTGACTAAAATATAGTCGAGTAAAACTAAAATAATGCCTAAATTATGACAAAAACTAAATGATCTTTAGTCAAAAGCTGAGGCTGAAACTAAATCAGAATGTGCTGTCCACTGGCACCTATTGTCTCAATGATTACTCCACATCTGTTTAGCTGTTATCTGTATCCATTTGGGGCAAGCACAAGGCTCTCTTTAAGGTGTGTGTGTCGTTTTTCCAACTACTACTACTGCTGCAATGAAGTATCAGGGTTTTTAATACAAGGTAAATGAGCAGGCAGATTCACAATAAATTCAAATGCTAAATTTATAAACTGGAAAAGATGCTTCAGTCTTAATCAAATTATTTTCTGCACCCTTTTCTAAATTCTAACAGTTGTGCCACATCGTTTGCTGCACTGCTCCTACAGAGCCAGTTTTACTTACTAAGGAGGGTGAATACATCAGAAAATAGCAATCCATGCATACTAAAGGGTTCTTAAATCTCAGTTTAGTTTTTAAGAAGATTTACTGAGACTACACCATCATGCTGTGGAAAATGAAAATGAAACCCAAATGAAAAGTTAATTTTCTTTTAGTCAGAACTCCAGATTTTCATTTTGACTTGGCAGGGCGCTGTAAACAGCCAGAGGCAGTCAGTGAGAGTGGTGTGACTGATTTAAGGGGGATCTAAGCCTGAGAGAATCCTTAAATTAGAGAAACAACAGGACTTTGGTGTAAAACGTTTGTGCCCGGTGAAAAGTCTCAAGAACATGGGACGTGATTATTTTTAAAGCTTTTTAAAATCTAAGTAAGAACATGGTTTGAAGATAAACTTCATAAATTGTGTTTCTCAGGCCTGAAGTGGTTGTTTTGGTTGTCAGTTACTATATGGACCAACGGATATGGAAGAGTTCCTTACTTTGTTCCTCATTAGTTTACAACTCATAGACGTTTTTCACGTGGTGAGTCTGAAAGCACAACACTGTCGTGCCTCTTGATTTTGTGGGGCTGAAAGATAAAAGCTGAAACAAAAAAAACAAACACTGGGATTTTCTGATACATTTTATTAATGCTAGTTTTAAAGTTTTAATGTTGTCCCATTTACAGACTGGTCTGTTACAGGGCTTCTGTGGAACCTTCTGTAGAATTTGTTTATTTTGCATCCCGCTCTTAGCATCATTCTATCCGTCTGTCTATGTTTCTCCTTATCTGGGGCCAAGTCACAAATAAGGAGAAAGGCCCAGACCCCATTCTCCCAAACTACCTCCTGAAATGTATTTGGAGGAACAAACTCCTCCTTGTGGGGAAGCAGCTTGTTGGCTGCCTCCTGACGAAGCCAACAAAAGCACTTCTGAGATTCTCAGAGTACAGATGAGATTCTGAGGGCACCAGTTTGCCACCTAAATACGATATGCCTCAAAATTCTGGCCCTGAAAACTATGAACAGAAATTATTAATAAGGACAGCCCTGGCATAGAACAACACCCACCAAGAATGAGTCCGACTTCTTGCTGAGCAAAGCAGAGCAAACTTCCTTATATTCCTGACGGGGCCAGGTACAGCACCGTGGAAAGCGAGTGGCTAGCCATCCAGATGTCAGACTCCCTTAGCTATTACCTCCTGGGCCTCCCCTTCACCCTCTGTTCGGACCACGCTCTGCTGCAGTGGCTCCATCGCATGAAGGATGCCAACGCCCGGATCACACCGTGGTATTTGGCTTTACAGCCTTTTAAGTTCCGAGTGGTCCATGGGCTGGGGGTGCAGACGGTTGTGGATGACTTCCTCTCTCCTCCTCTCTGACACCTTTATTACTATATGCAGTATTGTCTGCTTTTTATACTTATTGGGCTACTTGCTTATTATAGGCTTAAATATATATAGGCTGTACAGTACATAAGATTAAAATTTACATTTTTTATGTCACTGAAATGTTTTATTATTTGAGTTAAAGCCAAAGAGAAGGTTGCAGATAATGTTTACATGAAGCATGTGTATACTTACTGCATCTGGTTTATTTAAGCAGGCATCATATGTTGAAATCTTCAGACTAATGTAGATTATGAATTTCTAATTTATTATTTTTTGTAATTTTACCAATTTTGTTGATTACCACAGTCATACCTTTTAACTTAATTCTTGTAGATGTGATATAATTATAAAAACATTCATGCCATTTTCCCCATTCAACGTCTATAATTACACAAAATATCCATTAACTAATGGAAAAACCCAATTACAGAAACTTATTTTACTGTCATTTTTGTGTCATTTTACACCCAGTGTATCAATTTTATGTATATACAGCATAAAACTACAAGTTAACAGTTTTATCTTTTAAATAAAAATAGCTGTAAAATTATGTTAATCTTGCAACCATAATTTTTAGTCCTTTTTGTATAAAAATAAATACATTTTCCATAAAAATGTGAAAATCATGTTTATTCACAGGTACCGTTTTTTCGCAATTTTTAAATTACTTTTTATAATTTTATTTTACTTAGAAAAATTCTGTACATTTATATGAGATATTCTCTTAAATTACAGTTGTTGTTTTTACAGAGTAGATTTGGGGCCCAATAACATCTTTTAAACCAGCAGACGTATCACAGCTCAGTAATTCTCAGTAATGCCGTCCTTCAGGCTGTGAGTCTTCTTATTAACACAGATTTGACAGATTTGTTGTAACAATGCGGTAAACCGGGCCGTGAAATTACGGCTGGATGAAATGGTTTTCTGCTGCTTGGTTAACTCATGTTCATGTGCACGTGAGCGTACACACGCGGGACTGTAATGACCAATCAGCAGATATTGTAAACCCTCAGTTTGCTGAGCTGATGAGTGGGGTTGGTAGAGCGAGACTCCACGCAGAGAGACGCTGCACACGCGGGGAACAGCACTCCGTTTCCGTTACAGTCACTGTCCTTCTGAACGCTCCGCACACAGCGGTAAGTGCCACCGGGTCTTTTTACAACAGGTTGAGACAACACGGAAAGCTGAGGTGTTCGTGTCTATTTGAACACTTTGAGTTTGGTGTTTTTTCCACAGCAGGCTGAGCGTGGACCCTTTACAAGCTGGCAGAAGATGCGTGATTTAATTTGGGCTTTAGCCGCGAGCAGCAGGCACGCGCGCGCTCCGTTTGGCTGTTTGGTAACAGTGACGACAAATTCTGACCGTAAACATCAGCAGCTTTTATTTCGTCTGTTTGAATAAACACCAACAAAACGCGTTCGTTTCATATATTCTCCGCTTTATTCCTGTGGACTCTGTGTCCACGCTAGACCACAGATTTCATATCTAATGTAAAAAACCTTTAAAAAAATAATCTTGAATTGTTAGACTAATAGGATTAAACAGGTGTGGGTCACAGACCAGCGCAGTGGTAAACCCGGCAGGTACAGTGAAATAAAAGAAGATGCTTCTGACATTGTTCTTTACGGTTCTGGAAGTTTGTTTAAGAATTGGTTTTCTGCTTCTTCATCTATAAGATGTTATTATCTATGTTAATGTGTGCTGAACTTTATGTTTAGTGACTGTGAACTTAGAAGTCTAATATGTATATTATATATTATACCATATATAATCTCTGAAAGACACTACAACGTTAATGATGTAGCGTTAGTCGTTGTTTCGGTCATTGTGGTTTCTCAGGGCAGAAAGTCCTACACAGACTGTAGCAGAGTCTCTATCACTACTTCCTCTGATAAAGTTGGGATCTAATTACAGTAGTTGGATTATCCCGCTCACTGAATACAATATTATTCCTTTGCTAATTTGCTGTGGATGTTTGTGTTACTAACCTCTCAGATGCATCCATCAGAGCACGAATGAGTGTGGACGTTATATCAAAAGCACTTGGAAAAAGAAAGTGCTTGTTTAATTGGGTGAATGAGGCAAGTTGTACAGATTAGAAAAGCACTATATAAGATCCAGTCCATCAGCGTTTGGACAGAAGACGATGCTAAATGTGCGTGTTTTCTCAGACTGAACATGTTGCCAGGTTTGGGTCACACAGTGGTATTTAATGATCGAGTAGATCAAAAATCCTCTTGATCAGCCCTTTTCGATATAGAGTGCATGTTTCTATGCTCCCTTTTCAAGCTGATTCACTGACTCAGCGTCTTCAGTGTATTCAGTGTGAATGTGTTTGTTGTACAAGACCTGGAGAACAGTTGGCTCCAGAGAACTCTGGAACAGCAGCTTCTAACACACTGCAGAGAGCATTCAGAACAGTTTTACTCTGACAGGTTTTCAGCTGCATCTGTCAGGACGAGAGCTGGTAAACTGTTGTTTGAAGACAACATCAGCCTTCTTCTTGGCTTGCTTGACAGCTCCTCCAATTACAGCTCTCTGGGTGTAGTATGCTGCATTTGCAAATACTGCTGCTCATCAAAGCCAGATTAGAGAGAATAAAAAAGGATGCTGCTCTCTGTCCTTTACGGATGTGAAAATAGGATTTGAATCAGGTACAGCTCCTCAATGAAATTCTGTGTTGTACTGTCATTTTGCACAACCTCCTGAATATAACAGCAGAATACCACAACCGTTTTGTAACAAGAAAAGCTTGTCCTCTTGACCTCTGGTTTGGCATCTTGGGGAGATGTGAGCAAGCTGTTCAGCCTACCTCTGTCATATCATGTGGTAATAATGTTAGCAACAGTTCACCGGGAAGAGCCTTGAATAAACCTTCAACGATAAAAAAAACACAGGTTTCACTTCAGCTCTTTCTATGTTATAACCTTGCTCTTCTCTGCAGCTGGCACAAGCAAGAGTGGCCCACAGACTGGTTGTACCTCATACTTTCTACATTGCCTTGCAACATAGCTATCTACACCATAAATCCCACGTTGGTACCGGGAGAGACTTGAAATTTATGATTTTCAGGGTTTTTATCGTTAACTCGGTTTCCCTGGGTCTTTTCCCATGTTGTAGTTGTGCGTCTTATTTTGAAAGAAATATTTATGCGTTACCATAGCGACCAGAGGGCATTAAGGGGCAGAGAGGAGGATGTTACTGTCAATGTTGTTGGTGCATTTCAGGAGGACGCTGCTAATAAAGTTACACAATTACACAGTGAATTTATTATTATATTTACAAAATACCACAGTTTTTGTCTCAGTCGTATCATTTTATTTTGTTGTGTTTATCTGCCACACCTTAAAGGCTGGTCCGTGAAAATATTGTCTGACATTAAACCGATCTGTGGCACAAAAAAGGATGGCGACCACTGATTTATCTGATAACCGTAACTATAGCCCTAACTATATGCTTTAGCAAGAAGGAACGTTTGAAGCCTAATCTTGAAAGTAGAGATAGTGTCTGTCTCCTGAATCCAAACTGGAAGCTGGTTCCACAGAAGAGGGGCCTGAAAACTGGGGCAGTGACCTCCAGTACTGGGTGAGTGGCTCCAGCAGATCCCAGGAACAACATCTGAGATATCTCTCCAGAAGAGTGCAGACCTAGGAACAATACTGCCAGAACCCTCGGGACCCGAGCTTAAAGGAGCCCTCCCCCCACCCAAAAAACATCCTGCATGGTTCCATGAGGATTGGAATTCTGGGAGTTCTTCTCTAGTTTCCTCATAACCGTACCAAGTTCTGATGTTTAAACTGAATGGATGGATTAACTCATAGAAAAAAGTTCCCCTTAAAAATCTGTCAATCAAGAGTCTAAATTCAAGGTGCATATATGGTTTATTCATACTTCATACTCTCAAGGACAGTTTTGTGTGTGTGTGTGTGTGTGTGTGTGGGGGGGGTTACTCTATAAATTCGTACTGTATGTTTGTGTTGTGCTCTGTGCGTTTATTATATTTTCTCCCCCATCCCTTTCCCCCCCTGCCTGTCAGCTCAGACTTAGTCATGCAACACATATAATGTTATAACTGAAATAACACAAATGGAAATGAATAAATAAACAGGTAAAAGAAACACACGAAGAAGAGGAGCCTGCAAAGAATTTCTAGACTCATCCTGGAGAAGCAAACAGTCATAATTCTGATTGCAAAAGCTTCCAGACAGGACAGAGAAGATCCTGTAATGTACTGCAGCTGTTACTGCAGGTCTTTTGTTGTACTAGTAATATATGCTGCCAGTTATCATCTGTAGAAAGAATTAAGAAAAATTGTTATTGGGGAGTAACAAAAAAATTCCCGTTGGTGCTTGTCTAATTAAAAACCAAAGTGTTTATTTGAAGTCTGCTTTTAGGAGGATGTTGGCTGCTTGTTTCTGCAGTATGTGAGTAATAGTGGGCAGGAAGGCTCCACTAGCTTCTCCTCTTGTAATCTGAATGCAATTTCTTTATTATTTGTCTCCTTTTATAGCACTCACTTTCTGCACTGGCATTTGTGTATTTAAGCCCTGTGACATGATGTTTCTCCAGCACTAACCTGTCTGTTTCAAAGCTCCTCTGGATGAAAGAGGAAGCACATTCCAGTGTAACTGTTACTTTGATCATCACACACAGTTAAGCTGCTATTCACTAACAGTTACTTTAATCACTTAGATGCAGGCTTCTTCATCATCTCTTGATTTGGAATATCCAGATTGAGATGAGATTATGTGTGGTAAGCTGTGAATTTGTAACTTTTCTCTTTTAGTCAAGAAGCAATGAAGATATTAGAAGAAGAATTAGATGGTCAAGTCATAGATGGTTGTCGGTTAGTTTGACTTCGATGTTTGCACATGCGCCATACCCCTCGGTGACTGGTACACACTCCTACATACACTAGAATAGTTAGACAATGGGCAAATCCATTTGAGCGGTAAAACCTGAGAGCTCCAGGTTTCTTCACTGTGTAATAATGGCTGATGTCCAGTCAGAATCAATGAGTCTGTGTGTGTTCTCCACCAGGCTCAATTCAAGCTTATTCATATAGTAGCAACCTAATAGGACAAATGGAGGCTGCATTAGGCAGAGGACGTTAGAGAGAGGGCAACAGTGACCAGGACATTTGAAAGTTAATGACTTAATGCTGAATTTGTTCAGTTCAGCGGTGTCGTCTCAAAGCATTTTCAGTGTGCAGGAAAGGAAAACATTTTTTTTACCTGACACGACTCTGTTCAACTGTATCAATACTGAGTTATTACAATAGCTGATAACTAGTCTTGCTTGTCAGGGCTGCACTCTAGTGCTGAACACAAGAACTGATGTGGTTACATTATCATCCAAATTAAGCTCTGCAAGGCCAACGCACAACACCTGTGATTGATGGATTAGTCCGATGGCGATCAGTCTGATGGGGCCTGATAAATGATAAAAGCACGTTTCCTTTCAGTGGACTATTTGCTGTGTAAGCGTTCCTTCTAGATCCTTCAACGTGATCGTCATGGTCCTGAGTCTGAGGACTCGGTGTTTTGTGTTTCTTTATATTCTTCTATATTCTTGTTTATTCTGCCTGTGTTCCCTCTGTCTGTCCATGGTGTCACTGTGTCTGCTCGTGAGTCTGCCTGCCAAGTTCAGTGTCCGGTCTGGTTCTCTGTGTCTGTTAGTTTCCTGTTTTATTCTGAAAGTTCATGTCTCATGTCAATGTGTTCAGTTTTACCTTTCTCCTGTCTTGTTAGCTTAATTTCTCCCAGCTGTGTCTCCCTCCTGTTGCCCATTTCCGAATTACTCCCCTGTGTATTTAAGCCCTGTGTTTTCCTGTGCTCCCTGTTGCGTCGTACCCTCAACTTGCTGTGTGTTCATGATTTCCAGTCCTCCTGCACCTCAGTTTAGAGTTTTGTTTGCTTTTGTGAGTTTTATTTTGTGTTGTTCCAGCAATAAAGCTGCATTTTCAGTTGAAACCTCGTTTCCTAAGAGTCCTGCATTTTGGGTCCACCACTCCTGCCTGCCTGCCACACAGCCAACCATGACAATGAGTGCGCATGGCTTTATCAAATCAGTTTTTAAGTGTACAAAATACAGCCCTATCAAAAGTGAAGTAAAATATACTATTTCGATCCCAGGCTGCCTCCGGGCTGCATGCCTAATATCCTTGGGCAAGATACTAACCCCGTGTTTGCCTACTGGTGGTGGTCAGAGGGCCCGGTGGCGCCAGTGTCCGGCAGCCTCGCCTCTGTCAGTGCGCCCCAGGGCAGCTGTGGCTACAATGTAGCTGCCATCACCAGTGTGTGAATGTGTGTGTGAATGGGTGGATGACTGAATGTAGTGTAAAGCGCTTTGGGGTCCTATGGACTAGAAAAGCGCTATACAAATGCAGGCCATTTACCATTTACCATATTTATATTAAAACATATGAGTGTGCATATTCAGTATGTTTTTCAGCATCAGGCCAACAGTTGCAGATTGCTTACATAGATCCACATCAGTGTGTTTGCTGTGCATACGAGCAGGTCTGTGTCTGCTGCAGTCTTTTCATGCTCCGGGGAAAGAATGAACTTATTATGTAACCAAAAACGTGGTCGTTTGAACAGGAGTTTGTCTTTTTGGACCATTCACTTTGTTTTCAAATATTTAGATCAGGTATCAAAACGACTCAGATTTGGGGGAAAAACATGGGATTAAAATATTTCACTAAGAATTCCTTCCACCTCGTGACATCCTCAGGTGAAGTCAGCAGCACTCCACACACACTATACACAGTGTGGGTAGAGCACCACCTTCCCCTATTAAGTTGCTTGACACTTTACCAGAATCCCTTCGAGGCAGTTTGAAAGGGGTTTTCCATGGCCTCTCCAAACTCCTCCCACACCTGAGTTTCTAATTCAGCCGCTGGCCAAGACACATTCTGCTTGGCCTGCCCGTACCTATTGGCTGCTTCCAAAATCCCACGGGCTAAGCCCAAGAGGACTCCTCCTTCAGCCTGATGGCTCCTTGTAACCACGGTACCTGCCGTGGTGGTGACCCCACCACCAACAAACCACCTTTCTTTACCTGGAGAGGGCACTTTACCCTTAACTGACCAAGAACCTCGGCGGCTTCGCACTCTGCTGCTGATCACCCCAGTGCAAGCTCGACGTTATTGTAGTTTTGGTAGCTTCATCAGACATGATGAGTTGATTTTGGCTGTACAAATAATGAACAGAGTTGGTGAAATAGGAAAACCTTGGTGAAGTCCCACACCTACCAACAATGATTTTGACGGTTGTACAAGGAGCAGTGAGCTAAATATCCCACACTCCCAAAGCAAACCGAATGCTGTAAAATTCAGTTAAATGGGCTGATTTTCGATTGATTCATTACAATTTCAAATAGTTAAAGTGCTGTGAAAAGGTCTTGAGCCACCTCTCAGGTCAAATGTAAGGATAGGTTATAAGGCTTTTTGTCAATTTAAACCAATAATTAGACCTGAGCATCCTGTTTACAGACAGAAGTTATTTTCAGATGAAGCACTAATTTCACACTTCTTAGTGTTGTCACTGCACAGATCACCTGCTGGAAGTGAAAGCTTGGAAAGAAAAACACAATATGTGACTAAGAACTGTGTTTTTGCCATAACTAAGGCTTATGGGTGTACAGGCATTGAGCAGAGTACCGTGTGACCTCAGCATTTTCCCTGCGTAGTGAATGAGAGTGCAGTGCATGCTGGAATAACAGGAACTCTGCTTTCACGCCTATGTTTGAAAATGTTAGCTGCAGACAGCGTTTGTTTCTGTTGTTTCTGCTCATGTAACAAAATCCTGCACTCCCACATTGGGCCGTAAAGTGCCAAGAAGTTGATGAACTGCCCTCAGGATGAATGTTATTAAATGCAGAATTGACATTTGTTTGTATTTACTTATTTTACAGATCCTTTCCACTGTCAGTCAAAACTGGAAGGACTATGACAGATAGACCCATCTGCCAGTTTGGAGTGAGCCAGCTGGGAAGATAGAACATTTGTGACTTCTACATCTCCATCACAAAGATGAGGAATATTATCCTGGGCATTGTTTGTCTCTGTATTTGCCTGACCCTTGATGATGCACTGGCTTTAAATGGACGAAGGACACACATAGCAGATGGAGAGGGAATAGAAGCAGCCATCAGAGGAGAGAAGTTGCTGAAACGAGTGAGGCGAGGCTGGATGTGGAACCAGTTTTTCCTGCAGGAGGAGTATACAGGCTCTGACTACCAGTATATTGGCAAGGTAAGATCTGTGCTTCCGTTAAGGTACACTCAGGATGACATATTCCCAAATTAAATGAAATTCTCTTAATTAGCAGAAAGCATAATGATTTACCACAGCTGATCACAGTGCAGTATCAGGGATACTGTACCAACTGTGTTGTTTCTTATTGTTGTTCTGGGTTCTCAATTATGACACTGTTACTTGAAGAGAAGGTATTTTATCGAACTGTAGTTCACATGTGTCACCTCGCCTCTGTCAGTGCGTCTTCCTTTTTTAAAACAATAACATTAAATAACATAGCTACTTTCACAAACCTAAACAGTCTCTTTTTTTTCTTACTTGTTAAACCAGGATTTGTCAATTTAATGTTAACAGCACAACTAGTTTTCAACAATCATGGTCAGTTCAACACTAGTAACCAAACATAGTGAAACTTGCACAGATACTATGACATCATCTTCCAAACAGCATGCCAACACATTACATCTGGTCGATCATAGGTGGCTTCACTTGTCTTACAGATCTTCTCAGTGTTTGTTCTTGTGTATGTGTAGGTGTTTCAGGTGATAGTGTCTCATGTGTGTGTTGGGGTTGTTCAGCAGCCTCCAACCTCTGCTCCACTACTACTGGTCCCTTAA